AATGTTAACTCAATATAATTTAACAATGTTCTCTGAATGTTGAATTGTAACGTTTACAAGACATTACAATTCAGCGGACATTAGACGTTTTTGCAATATCTTTTCAACGTTGAATCTGCGTTTCGTAACATTGATGCAATATTGCAATGTTGTAATGGAACGTTTCTGAGATGTTGATTCAACATTTGTGTGCTGTATGAGAAGCTGCGATTGAGACGATAATGTACAGTTCCATGATCTCCTCTCCTTTCCCGCAGAAATTCGCGAGCTCGTCGATAGCCTCTTCCGTGATAACGGTGGAATCCACATCGAACGTCACAGCGTCCGCGGTTTTCCACACGTTCCTTAATTTGTCCAGGCTCGTCATCTGAAAGACCAACAACAAAGTGTTTAGCGACCAAGTGAAAAAAAAGAGAGAAGAGAAATAGAACGAAAAGAAAAAGAAACTTGGGTTTTACTTTTCGAACGGTCGACCTGTAACTTGGGGAAAAGAAACGAAAAGACGGAATCGCGCCTCTCATAGCGGGCGATACGAAATTTCCGCTAGGACACGAGTCCCGCGTGACCGTACATCGGGAACGTAAAGGCCTTCACACATAAAATTCCGTAAGGACGTAACACGTAAGCATAAGAAAATCGACCAATCACGGTCGATTTTCTTATGCTTATGTTTTACGTCCTTACGGAATTTTATGTGTGAAGGCCTTAGGGCCGTGGCACATAAAATTCCGTAAGGACTTAAAACGTAAGCATAAGAAAATCGACCAATCGCAGTCGAGAACGTAAGGCAGTAACGCAAGCAGTAGCAAATCCAATCTGTTGATTTTCTTACGCTTACGTTTTAAGTCCTTACGGAATTTTATGTGCCACGGCCCTTAACCGCACCGTACGGCACACGGCTACGTCAGTCCGAGCCTCTCACGTGATATCACACACCGCGAATACCGCTCCCCCCTTCGTTTTATTACCGACAAATTGACAATCGCGTGCGCGCCGATTAATATTCCCTGCGTCATCCGGCGAAAGGCGAGAGATCACGCGCGATTGCGCGGACACGTGAACGAACGAGCGAGCGTGCACTCCGCACGGGTCCGCTTTGCCACCCGAGCGCGGACTCACTCGAGCGAGAGAGAGACAGAGAGAAAGAGATATTGACCCTCGCCGTACTCGGGAATTCCAAGAGCACTCGACGCGAAGGGGCCGCTCAGAGCCGAAATATTCCCGGACGACACTGCTCGATCCGACACGAATGCGAGTCGACCGGTAAAAAGATCCAGAGCAGATTTCTGGTCGAGGAGCCGCCGGAGTCCGCGGGAATGAAGGAGCTCGCAAGGAGTGAGAATTACCTTGTCGACGCCACGACGGGATCGGCCAGACGGCAACGGCGAACTAGCCGTGGGCCAGTTGGTTGCCGCTGTGCTGTCGCGGCAAAAGGAAGTGGCAAGCTCCGCGGTGGTTTTATCACGCGATAGTAAACCGCCGTTTCGTAAGCGGCCGCCTTCGTAATCGCGCGTAATTGCCGGCTGGGGGTCCGCCGGCTCCGCGCTCGCAGCTCGTCAAAACGCTTGTTTTTCTCACGCGACCGCATTCCCTCCGCGGGGGACAGATCCACTCGTGTTTCGGCGATAAGATACCGATTAATTACTACGACTGCTCGGGTTGATCCGTCGATCCCCGTTCTCGCATTGTGAGATTCCTAATTTAATATGCCCTTAAAATGCGCCCCTTACGTAATGTCTGCAAAGTCCGTTCTACAATGAGTTGTGTTCGCCGTTAGTCAAACGTCATTCTCGTCCAAAAAGAACAACCCAGTGAGAAATAATTCGTCGATCGATGTCGAAACGATGTCGAATCGACGTCAATTTGACGGTATCGATGTCGATTCGACATCGTTTTGACATCGATCGACAAATCATTTCTCACTGGGAAGGATCAACATATAATCCGACCTATGACTGCGGTCAAGCTACCGCTTAGAAACACTGGCTGCGTTCAGCAAAAAAAGCTGCTTTGCAACTGTTGTAAAATTTGTGAATCTGATTGGTGTATTCTCTTGAGTGAATTTAAGAGCATACGCCAATCAGATTCACAAATTTTACAACAGTTGCAAAGCAGTTTTTTCTGCTGAATGTAGCACTTTCTCTTCTCTTTCTATCTTTATTGAAATATTAAGGGGAAGAACACTGCGAAACACTTGTAGTGACAGCTTGACCAGCCTCTAACTTCAACGGCTCGTTGTAGAATGGACTTTAATGATGACAAGACGGATTAGATATCTTCGGGGAGCGAATAATAAGAATAAAAACGATAACATAGAAGCAAATCGGACAGACAGCTTATTTTATTGGAGTCTCGTTCGTGATAACTTAATCTAATTTCAGTCGCGTGAATACGACCGTAAAATGTATAGCGTGCGCGCTAGGCACAACTTGGTTGCGGATAAGTGGCAGGAGTGGGAAGACTGGGTGGTCACTCGTCTTTCTCTCGATGCGACGCGAGCGCGCTGGTCACTTACTGGCCGGTAACAGCATCTACTAGCAAATAGTTAGAAAAATTCGATGAGTCTCGTCGTCACCAGGTCAATTCAGTAGCTACCGCGAAACTTTTTATGAATACGAAAAATTACCCAGACAACATGCGTGTCTAAATGACGTCTTAAAAGAGACATCTTTAAGACTTTACTAAAAGACGTCTATAAAACGTTCGAAAAAAGCGTCTTAAATTAAGACATTGTCAAAAAGATGTCTTTGTGACATCTTACAAAAATATAAAATATCTGTGACACATATACTTTATGTAATAAAATAAAAGAACTTTTACATGAATACATAGACCCAGCAAACACCAAAGTAACAGTTACATAATATCAATATAAACGTAATATAACACGTACACCTGTTAGATTACATTTCCATTGATGTTATGTAATTGTTACTTTGGTGTTTGTTGGGGACATAGTCTATGGGTCATTCCATATCAGATTTACAATCAAAATTTTGATTCGCCTGAAATTTTTTTT